CTGCAATTCTGAACGCGGAATTTAAAAAATAAGAGATTTATTTATTTATTTATTTATTTAAAGTACGGCCTGAATAGCAAAAAGTAAAAATCTTTGCAAAGAATACATAGGATAGGATGCAGCCAGTCCTGGACTTATAACAGTCTGTTTAGTGACCGTTCAAAGTTAATACGGCATGGAAAAAAGTGACTTATGACCATTAAATTATATGACCGTTGTATATTGAATTGCATTTTCAAATACATTAGCTCGCAAGAGAAAATAAGTGTTCCTTATATTAATAGCTAGGCCATTTATCCAATTAAGGGCTTTTAGAGATCACTCCAAATGGCTTTAAAAGGAGGATCCAGTTTCCAGCTGTCCAAATCTCTAGATTTGGGAATTAAAAACCTTGAATGTTATTTTCTTCAAAGTTTCTTAAACTTCCAGGCGGCTAAGGACCATCTCTCTTTATGAATTGCATTTTAATCCTATACCTTAAGTACTTATCACTTAACCTCTTAAATTTGACCAGATAAAATCTGGATGAATATTAATTTTTAACACAAACCCCTTCCTGTTTTTAATGCAGCCTGCAACTGGGGTAGGGGTCTATTGATAAGAAATATCTCTTTACATTTTGGGGTCACCGAACAAGCGAGGCTAAAATATCTTTTTGGGAAGGGTAAGTATTATGCAAGTGTGCTCAAACGTCTATTTTTCTCTGCTTCCTACAAAATAAAGCAACCCCTTCATTCAAAAATCAAATTTTGGCCAGTGGCAGAACACGAATAGGTTAGTAGCAAAATAGCTGAAGATGTTTATTTTTGTTTTTAAATGAAAACAATCTCACAAGGAAATTGAACTTGCAGGGAGCTTAAGGTCTGTGGACTACATAGCCCATACATTTCTGTTCATTCCCTGGACTGATTACAGCTGCCAAGGGGTGGCACCATGAGATTTGATGCTGCCTTTGCAAACATGATTTGATTCTATTAATTAACGGAATGCATTCCCATCGATTAATTCCTAATATTATTAATAATAATAATAATAATTTTATTTCTATACCGCCCTTCTCCCGAAGGACTCAGGGCGGTGTACAGCCAATTTAAAAACACAAGACACAACACTGGTTCAGTTCATTAAGAACTCAACCAACTAAGGATTAATTTTCAATTCCATGTATGAACACGAAGAGGATTCATTTTTGTGCATTTTGTAAAAAAAATAAATAAATCTTGCAGTTGGGTTGGGCACAGAGACTCTGGATTAAAGTTAAACCTTGGTTGTGAGAATCTGGTTTACAATCTTGGTTTTGCAGAATATCACAGAAGCTGCGGTAGCTAAAAAGTCTTACCCTGCCCCGTTCTGAAAATTAAGGAAACCTGAAGGATTTGTGCAAAAGGTGAAGGACTGAAATTTTAAAATTTGGAGAGGAATTTTCCGCGAAGAGGGCTTGTGTAATATCCAGTTCTTGTTTCTGAGCCTGTATGAGGCCCTTCCTTTAACAAAACAGGCATAATAATAATAATAATAATAATAATAATAATAATAATAATAATATCATCATCATCATCGTCATCATCATCGTAAGAAGGTACTTGGTTGATCCCTAGGACGCTGGCAGCAACTCGTATCAACCATTAACACCAGTCAATGGTATTTGTGATGCATTTTTGAATGTTCAGTTGACTGAGTTGCATGTTTAATGAATAAAGTATATAATAATGTTATAATAATATTAATTACCTTAACAGATCCTTGGTTAGGAGCTGAACTGTTAGAAGTTTTTACCAGACTATGAATTGAATTGAAGATTAAATAATAATAATAACAATAACAAACGAGGAGAGGAGGAAGAGAGTGAGAAGGAGGAGGAAGGAAGAAGCAGCCCTTATCCAGGTAAGGTTTAAGCCAAAAACTGAGGTTTTAAAACCCATTTTTTCCCGGTGTTTGATCCTAAAATTGCTCAACCTACAGCTCTCAGAAGTTTGTAAGGTGTGGCTGTGGGCCTTTTCATTCCAGCCAAATCATAAAAGATAAGCAGCCACTGAAATGTGAAGAGAAATGAATCTTGGGCTATTTTTTTAAAAAAAAGGAGAAATAAATAAAAATAGCAAGATACGCACAATTTTGCACACGGATCGACCTCTCTCCCGCAACCCCTCAAATCCCGCTGGATGCAATAAAGAGGCAATCCTATTTCAGGAGAGAAGGAAGAGGGGGTGGGGGTGTCCACCAAACACCCCCGTCCATCCTTCTCCTCCCCCCCCGCCCGAAAAAATTAAGCAGAGAGAAACTCAATTCTGATGGACAATGCAAACACACAAATGATGTGTTGGATGCAGAGAACTTCCCAATCCTACAGCCGCCCCACCAAATTTGGGATCCCGAGTTTCTTTTAGGGTGGAAAGGAATAAAAAATAATAATTAAAAAAATCTAAATAAAACCTGGTTTACTTAAGAGATGGGGGCAGCCCCGTTCTGTGCCATAAACCACGGTTAAGATTTGCGACTGTGGCTGCTAAAATCCAATTCTTGTACGGGATGGAGACACCGTATTAAAACTTTTCCTTCCTTCCTTCCTAACAAAGCAGACGAAATTTCTCCCCAAAAGCAAGAAAAACAGACAATTAAGCTTTTTTAAGCTGCCCTCCAAGCCCAGCCATTGAAATACCTACAGATGAAGGGTGTTGGGGGGCTCGGTGACTCCCCTAAATCTAAACCAGCGATCCCCCTTTGGCGCCTGTCTTATTTGGAGGTCCTCACTCACCTGGTGTCTGGCGAGCCTGCTCATTAAAAGATAACTTCTCGGTTATTAGATATATAAATATATATATTTTCTCACGGACGGGTGGAAAAACAGTGCACAGGCGTGGCCTTCCATGCAAAGGGGGGGGGAGGAGGAAAAATCCACTTTGGGTTGTCAGAAGCAATCTCCAATAACCCCCACCCCCACCCCCACGAGAGCCTCGGAGAGAATTTAGCAGGAAATCCATTAAGTCGGTTATGATGATCCGAGCTAAATTATTCAACGGCGCGTCGCTCTCGGTCTAAAAAGCTTCTGGCAGGAGAACCTGATTTATGGGAGGCGCAGAATCGATCGATGGATCGCGCACTTTTTATTAGCGGGGACTCGTCGCCGTCGGGAGGGCGGATGGACGGAGGTGGCTCTCTGGCCCCGTGGACAGCCACGGTGGAGACAATGAAAGATGATGGATGAGACGAGCGAGGAAAATCCGGGACAGACAGGAGCCCGCGATTCGAAACGTCAAATGAATCCCGTTCAGGATGTAAACGGACGGCGGGAGAGAAGCGTCCCCGAGATTCCCACGGTTGGCAGAGGATGGGGGATTCCACGGGATCTGTTGGGTTCTCTACCACCTTGGCTCAAATTCACCGGTTCGGGTTGTCATTTGGAGGTGAAGCTGGAAAATCCTGAGCAGAGGCTGCTTTCATGAGCTGTGGATGCAGCTGCTTTCATAAGACGTGGAGACGGCTGCTTTCATGAGATGGGAACAAGGATTTTGATTTGCGTTTCCGTGACCTCGGAAACTCTGCAGACAGGAGCCCAGCATTCAAACATAAATCCCGCTAAGGGTGGAAACGGATGGTAGGTGAGGTGTGTCTCCCGCTAACAAGCCAACATCCAACTCACCATTTACCTCCTCCATGTCCCTCCTTCCAACAAGCCAAGATTGCCAAGCAAGACCGCGGAAGACGCCAGCGATCCAAACCCCCCAGGCATGAAGCAACCGCGGGCATCTCCACACCCCGATGCCTGTCCTGGTAAGCCGAGATGTATCCTGGTCAATTCTTCGCCTCTACCCATTTTACCTCCCTGCCAACACAGAGATGACCAAGCTGCCCGTCTGAAGGCCGAAAATACGACAGGCATTTCTGCTTTTCCTCCATTCTTCTCTTAATGCATTTTTTCTCCCGATTCACACATGCTGGATCATTTCCCGGCTTCGCTCTGGGGAGAAAAGCTAATTATCTCAGCTTTTGCCAACCCAGCAGCGTTGATGGACGCCAGGGAAGGTGCCCAGAAGCTTTGCAAGTTGGCAGAACTTCTGCTGATGGATCTCCTGGCACCTTTCAAAAAGATTACCGCATTTTGCCGAATGTGGGAACTCGACGGTGGGAAGACGCTGATGAGTTTCCTGCAAGACGAGATCCATTTTTTTCCCCTTTCATAGATAGTCCTGGACTTACAACTGTTCGTTTAGTGACCATTCGAAGGCACAAGAGGACTGAAAAGAATGATTTCTGGATGTTTTTCACACTTACGACCGTTGTTGCAGGATTCTCCTCCTGGGTCATGCGATCAAAAATTTGGAAGCTTGGCAACTGGCATGTACTTATGATGGTTGCTGTGTTCCCAGGTTACGTGATTCCCTTTTGCGACCATCTGACCAGCAAAAGTCAAAAGGGGGAAGCCGGATTCACTTGACGACCATGTGACTCATTAAACAACTGCAGTGATTCACTTAACAACGATGCCAAGAAAAATTGGCAAAATGGAGCAAACTCACTTAATAAATGCTTCATAAAAGTGACTTCCCAGTGGGGAAGCCAGATTTCCTTAACCACCTCAGCCTAAATGGTTATGAAATGGGGTGCGAGTCAATGAACAACTGCCTCGTTTAGTGACGGAGCTTCTTGGTCCTGGTTTTGGTCGTAAATCAAGGACCACCTGTAAAAAACGGCTTTTAGGATGACGATGGCAACCTGGAATTGAAAAACCGTACCCCGCCTTCATGCCAACAATATCTTCCAACCAAAATAGTTTTCATTTCGTGTTCCTTGCAAGAGCTCTACCAGCCATCAACAGAGTAACAGTTAGAAAATCCCACTTTGCAAAGAGGAAGCATGCACAATTTGGGGGTTCATAGAGTCAGCCTCTTGGGGGAACTCCTGATTACTACTACTACTATTATTTTTTTTGCAGAATCGCCAATTGGAAGCTCGGAGAACACCAAGAGGATTAAAAAAAAAAGAGAAGACGACAAAATTACCTGTAAAACTGGAGCTGTCTTTTCGGACTTCCATAACGAGCACTTTGGAAAGCAAAAGGGGAAAAAAAAGAAAGAAAGAAAGAAAGGAAAGAGATTCCACAAATCACAGATTTTGAAAAGGAAAAAAAAAAAGGCAAGGAACGGTGCAAATACATTGGACGAACCACGAATTATCTCTCCAGACACTCTGGCCTCTCAATGCAAGACTCTATGGTTGGTTGCACAGTCTTGGGTCAGGAGGGTTGAGTCAACGTATCCTCTTCCCTAGACTCTCTGGGCCTTCCCAACCCAAGACTCTATGGTCATTTGCATGGTCTTGGGTCAAGAGGGTTGAGTCAACGTATCACTTCCCTAGACTCTCTGGGCCTTCCAACCCAAGACTCTATGGTCATTTGCATGGTCTTGGATCAAGAGGGTTGGGTCAACAGTACCCTCAAGTGGAGCAAGTGGGAATTGCATATTTCTGGCAGTGACATCCTGATGATCCGGGAAGCTAGATTCATTTAACAACCGTGTTACTAATTTAACAACAGCAGTCGTTCACCAATAGTGGCAAGATAGGTCGTAACATGGGACACAACTCTTCTGAACAACTGTCTCACTTACCAACAGACATTTTGGCCTCCAGCAAAAAGGAATAACTGACGACTGACTCCAAGTGCGATTCGCTTACCAACCATCTTTCTTAGCAGGGGGAATTTTTGTCCTAATTGTGTTCGTAAGTCAAGGACTACCTATGTTTCTGATTTTGAAGGTCCAGCAGGGGACAAACGCGGGATAACACACTTGGACGGGACCGGAGTTGCAACCGACACGCATGGCTGGCCGATGCTCACACTCACCTGTAAATCATACCTGGGGATCCAGTGTGTCGGTTTGAGAATCTGGCCGGGGAGTCCGTGGTGGATTCGGGGTACATGGAGGCAAGCTCCTCCAGGATCCAGATGAATCTTTGTTAGCACCCACTGCAGAAAGAAAAGAAACAGAAAGAAAGAAAGAAAAAGAAGGGAGGGAGGGAGGGAGGGAGGGAGGAAAGAAAGAAAGAAAGAAAGAAAGAAAGAAAGAAAGGAAGGAAAAGAAAAAGAAGGAAGGAAGGAAGGAAAGAAAGTTAGACCATGAGTTTAATCTTTTTATTTTTATTTTGTTCTTTTAAAGACATTTTAAGCATTTTGCTTTCCATTTTGCCCTGGTCTTTTGAAGGATGGCAAAAGCCTTTCATTTTATATTCTTTTTGTTTTTCTTCCTGGTTCTGTACACTTTTTGTTCAGCTTTTACAAATCCTGGATGTTTTTTTTTTAAAAAGTTATTGATATTACTTTAGTTACAACTGGAGAAAAATTCAACAAAAGCTCTAAATTCTGTTCTGGATAAATCTTCACCCTTCCTGAATAATCTGCTTACTCAGCAAAGCTGGCGGCAAAAGCAGAAAAAGGAAGAAAAAGAAAGGAAGAAAAAAGGAAGAAAAAAGAAGGAAAGGAAAATAAACATGAATCAAAAAACGGGTAAAGGATGGGCCACTAAACCATGATTTGCAATCCAGAACTGCCTCCAAGCCATCATGACCGCTGCTGTCCACAAGAGGGCGGTGCAGACCTCTTAGCCGCCACTCCAGTTCAAATTGCAAATCTGCTATTAAAAAAAAAAAAGAAATTCTGCCCCAAAATTGTTAATGGATAGATAGATAGATAGATAGATAGATAGATAGATAGATAAATAAGACAGAACGGATAAATAAGATAGAACGGATGGATGGATGGATGAATGACACAGAAAGACAGGGAGATAGAATGGATGATTGGATGGAGAGATGGATGGATAAATAAGACGGATAGATGGATAGATGAATAGAATGGAGAAAAAGGATGGATTGGATAAGATAGGTACACTGGAATGGATAAATGCATGGATGGATATAGTAGATGGATGGAGAGGATGGAGAAAAATATGTATGGGAGAGAGAGAGAGAGAGAGAGAGAGAGAGAGAGAGAGAGAGAGAGAGAGATAGATTCTGTCGATCCAGTGGGGGAGAGAGAGATAAAATAGATAAGATTAGATAGATAAAATAGATTAGATAACTATAGAGACATGATTGATAGATAATTACAGATAAATGATTAGATAGATAGATAGATAGATAGATAGATAGATAGATAGATAGATAGATAGATTCTGTAGATAGATAGGTGGGGAGAGAGAGAAGATAGATAAATAGATGATAGATAGAGATAGATAGATAGATAGATTGATTCTGTAGGGAGAGGGAGGGAGGGAGGGAGGGAGAGAGAAGATAGATTCTGTAGATATGATAGACAGACAAAGATAGACTCACAACTGTAACAAGGAAGGTAACAGGGGGCAAACCTCACTTAACTGCCTTGCTTAGCAACAGAAACGTTGGCCTCAATTGTGGTCGTAAGTCAAGGACTCCTTGAATGTTATCCCTCCCGCCAACTTTGCAGAGCCAGAAACTTCGAAGGGGCTGTAAGATGAGATGTGAGCCAGCCCGGTCGGAAGACGAGAGCCAGAAAAAGGCTGCCTGGTCAGAGGAGGAGGACTTGGGCTAGGAGGCGATCCTGCCCCCCCACCTCCCAAAAAAGGGGGAGGCTTCAAGGTGACATTAAGAGGGGGGGGGGGAAAGAAAAAAAAGAAAACAGGGAAAAGTGGAAAGGATTTTGGCAGCTGCCATCGGATCCGTCTGTTGGATGAGCTCTGACTTTGCTTGCCAGAGAAAATTCAGCTTTCAGTGACTCATTCCCTGGTGAAAAACACGGAGTTTGATGTTGGAAGGGGGGGGGCTCCCTCTTTTCCCCCCTCCCCTTTTCCTTCCTTCCTTCCCTTCTATTTTTCCTTCCTTCCCTCCCTCCCATTACCTTCCTTCTTCCCCCTCTCCCTTTCCTTCCTTCCTTCCTCCCTTTTACTTTTTCTTCCTCCCTTCCTCCCTCCCCTCCCTTCCCTCTTTCCTTCCTTCCATTTTTCCTTCTTTCCTTCCTTCTTCCCTCCCATTACCTCCCTCACTCCCTTCCTTCCCTCCTTCTTCCCTCCCTCCCCTACTTTTCCCTCCCTCCCTCTTTTCCTCCCTTCCATTTTTCCTTCTTTCCTTCCTCTCCCTTTCCTTCCTTCCTCCCTTTTATTTTTCCTTCTTTCCTTCCTACCTTCTTTCTCCCTCCCTCCCCTTCCTTCCCTCTTTCCTTCCTTCCTTCCTTCTTCCCTCCCCAACTTTTCCCTTCCTTCCTTCCTTCTCTCCCTCCCAACTTTTCCCTTTTTCCTTCCTTCCTTCCTTCCTTCCCTCCCCTCCCCCAGGATAACCTTAGAACAAGAAAGAAAAACTTTTTATTGGACAGATTTTTTCTGCAGATATTTTAAATCACTAATAATAGAAAATAAAAACCTGAATAAAGGTTGGAGAGGAGTCTGCCTTGTAAGGTCACCCCCTCCACTCCCCCTCCCCAAATTTGGCCACCACCGCACTCTGGCCTGGCAAAGCCGGCCAACCCCTTCCCCAGCCGCTGAGGCCGGCCGCCCCCCCCCCACCCCAAGCATCCCACACTTGCAAACACACACAAAAATGTTGCCGCAGCGACACCCGCAGGGGACACCTAACCGAGCGGTTTCTCAAAATTCTCTTTTTGTCACCCAAAAGTTGGGCGAGCTTCCCTTTCGCAAGGCAGATGTCGCAAGAGCCAACGGACAGCTCTGTTCTCGTTTTCTTTTTTTAAAAAAAAGGACTTTCTATGGAACAGGAGAAAAGTGAAGAAAGTTAAAGCGAAAGGAAAAAGCAAAAAGAATTATGAAAAAGAGGACCGATCTACACGTGTGATCGGAAATATTTTAAAAGTACATTTTACACCCAGAACTATATTTGCACAAATCTTTCTTTCTCTCCCTCTTTCCTGTCCTTTCCTTCCTTCCCTCCTTTCATCTCTTCCTTCTCTTCTTTCTTTTTCTTTCTTTCATTCATTCCTGTCCTTCCTTTTCTTTCTTTCATTTGTTCATTTCTGTCCTTCCTTCCTTCCCATTTTCTCTCCTTTCCTTCTTTCCTCCCTTTTTCTCTCTCCCACCTTCCTTTTCTATTTCCTTCCTTCCTTCCGTCCATCTCTCTCTTTTCTTTCTTTCCGTAGCACAATAACACCCCTTCCTTCCTCCCTCCTCTCATTTTCTTTCCTTCCTTACAAATGTGACCCTGGGACCCTGCAACCGTCATAAGTACATGCCAGTTGCCAAGCGCCTGAATTTTGATCATGGACCGTGTGGGGATGTTTTTGACGGTCGTAAGTGTGGAACAAATGTCTATATCAGTGAGCACCCAAAATCCCTGACTAACAGGGTAGGTGGGTGGACCTCAGAACTTCAAAACTAGGTCATAATTCTTTCTTTTTAGGGTCCAACGTAACTTCGAACGTCCGCTAAGCTGGCGGTCATAAGCCGAGGGGGGCTGGACTAGAAGACCTCCAAGGTCCCTTCCCACCGTGTTATTCTCTTATCCCTCGCAACGCCTCCCTTCCTGCCATGGAGAGGTGACCCCTGCTTAATATTCGGTATATCGGTATCAACACGGAACCAAGTTTTTCATTCTGCCTCTTGAGTGCCACGTTTCCCAGGCGCCGCCTTACACCCGAGGCTGTTCGAAACCCGTCACTTCCATTTCATCAGGCTAAAAGCCGCGGCCGGAGAAACCTGGCCCAGGTGAACACGCGGTCTTGGAGGTCAAGCAGATAGAGTGATGAGGGACGTCATGGAAAAACAAGACTCGGTGAACTCCGGAGCGTGTTTCACAACCTGGTGGCAACCTGATCCTCCCTCAGGCCCTCGGAAACCCGCGGGTGAGCCCCCTCCTCCCTGGCCACACCCTGCTGACCGCTTCAGAGGTCCAGTGAGAATGGCTGGACCGTCTTTCTGCTCCTCAACAACGACCAGATATCTTCTGGTTTGCAAGGACAGAGATGCTATGCAGGCAGTCCTCGACATACAACCGCAACGGAGACCCAAATTTCCATCATTAAGCGAGACATTTGTTAAGCAAGGCATTTGTTAAGCGAGTTGCACCCCATTTTATGACTTTTCTTGCTACGGTTGTTAAGCAAATCCCTGGCAGTTACTTAAGGGCAGAGATGCCAAGACTGTCTCTTTAGCGCTTCCTATGCGGGTAGTCCTCGACTTACGACCGCTGCCCCAAATTTCCATTGCTAAGCGAGGCATCTGTTTAGCGACTTTCACCCAGTTTCCCGACCTTTCCTGCTACGCTTGTTAAGTGAATCCCTGGCAGTTAGTAACACGGTCGTTAAGCAAATTTGGCTTCCCCGGTGACGTTGCTCGTCGGAAGTTTTCAAAAAAATAGATAAAAAAATAACAAGTAGAACACACTGCTTAATAAGAGCAGCGTGTTCCACTTAACGACTGTGGCAAGAAAGGTCGGAAAACAGAGCAACGTTCATCGAAAAACTTTCTTGCTTCGCGACAGAAATCTGCGGCCTCCATTGCAGTCGTAAGTGGAGGACCACTTAATTTTTGCTCTCTTGTTTCCCCCACCCCAGAAAAAACACTCATTCACAACCGTATTATTTGCAATTCAGCTTTTGGGTCGCAGCTGCAGCCGAGTCAGGACTGCAAAATAATTCGATGTGATCAGCGAAACTATTTATATGTTTTTTAACACTCTGTAGAGAAAAAAGAAGAAGGAAAAAAAACAGATTTAGAAAATCCCCTAGAAATGCAGATTTGGGTTCAAGGTGGAAAAGGGTGGCCGCATTAGGGAATTTTAAAAATATTCAACATCCAGCTGAGCCTTTTTCTAGTGAAAAAAGAAATTATGATTAGTTTTATTTACGCGGTGATGGCAAGGTTGTTATTAAGTGTAGGAAAAGACGGATAATCCTCGATTTACGACCCCAAAGTTTCTGCAGCTAAGCAAGGCCACTCGTTAAGTGAGTTTTGCCCCATTTTACGATGTGACTTGCAACGGTTGTTAAGTGAATCTTAAGTGAGTCTCACAGTTGGGGATCGCGTGACCCCGGGGGATGCAGCGACCGTCCTAAATACGAGTCCGTTGCCAAGGATCTGAAGTTGGCTCTCATGACTGTGACGGTCGTAAGTGTGAAAAACATTCCTAAGTAACGTAAGTGCCGGTTGTAACTTTGAACCGTCGCTAAATGGGCGGTTGTAAGTTAAGGACTAACCCCGAGTTGCCGTATTGGTGAGATGGAGAGTAGAGAAATTCAATTAATGGTAAATGAATAAAGCCCAGGCGGAAAGGGGACCACAGGGAAATCCCAACCATCAGAATTTCAAATTTGAGTCGTAAGTCCCTATTTTGGGGACAGGTGTAACAGAGGATTACCTGTACAGGTGGGCCTTTTGCTGGTCATCTCCTGGAGGCCACCATTACTCGCTTTAGGTGGCCAGGCGAAGCAATGCAGGTGGTCCTTGACTTACGATGATTCATTTAGCGACCGTTCAAAGTGACGACAGTGAAAAAAGTGACTTATGGACACACTTAGGGACCGTCGCAGTTCCTCCCATGGTCACGTGATCAAAATTCGGACGCTTGGCAATTGACTCGTACTTATGACGTTTGCAGCGTCCCTTTTGCAACCTTCTGGCCAGCCAAGTCCACCAGGAACCCTGATTCATTTAACGACTGGGTGACTAACTGAATCACTGCACCGATCCACTTACCCACCGTGGAGAGAAAGTTCGCACAATGGGGCAGAACTCACTTAACAACACTCGGCAACGGAAATTTGGGACTCCACTGTGGTCGTAAATCGAGGAATGCTGGTATTGAGAAAAACAGCTCCAATATTCTATTTATTTTTTTTTATTATTATTCCAGTTTGATATAGAGGAACGGTGGGAACTGGCTTTTAATTGGCTGCAGAGTGATCCTTAAGAGAAATTTATTAATTGAGGCCGTTACCACTCTGCTGGGAATATGTGGTAATGATATTTGTCTAAATTTTTTTTTTAACGGAAAATATTTGCGATTATTTTTTTTAAGCCCTCGTTATATAAATTTCGACCGGCATATTCCTTTTCTTCCAAGGGGAGGTGGGGGTGGAGATTGCAAGCTCTCTGGGGCGGGGACCCAAAATTACTAATTTTACACAAGCGGGTGGGGGGGGGCAGTGAAAGGATTATTGGGGGGGGGGGAAATTGTGGCTGGGATAGGTCAAATTTGGTGAAGATTTGGATGCAGCAAAAAAAAAACCCAGCTGGACCTGAACCAAGAATGACTTGCAGTGGCATCCAGAGATGAGATCAGTCCCGGAACGGCGGGGGTGGGAGACCAATTCCCCACTGCATTTATCTCATCCAACTTCTGCCCTCCCCCAAAATATGGGGGTGTCTGTGCCCTAGCTGAAGTTAGGGGGATATATCGGTAAATCTAAGCGCTATGGCTATCAAAACATTGTATTTTCTCCACTGGGGTAAAGACGAAAGTTGAGAGTGGGGGGAAGAAAAAGGGCACTGGGCTCGCTTGCACGCGTGTGCACACCCCCAAGTGTGCAATCGCACAGGAAGAAGCCCCCCCCCCACATTTCTCACCAGCGCAAATCTCCTGCCTTCCTTCTTCCTTTTTGACGGAAGGGCGCACCGATATTGCCGAAACACACAACCGCACAACCAGCCGATGGAGAAGGCGGCACACGCTCAACTTCCTTCCCCCCCCCCATTTTGCCCCAAATACCCCCCTGGAAGTCCCCCCCCCCCCCCCCCTCCCCCTTCCTCCTCCTCCTCCCTGCAGCATGCAACCACCACAATCAGCCCCGCTTGCAATAAAATTCAGCAGTGGGGAATTAGCCAACATTGACCAGTCTGTTTCCTGTCACTGACGACGGGCAGCTGTCAAATTTGCAGGGCGCCCCCCTCCTCCCCCCCCGCTTGAAATATCCCTCCATGCATTTATGGGGAGGGTCTCCCCGCCCACCCTCTTCCGCCTGCAGGCAGGTAAAGGGGGCAAGGCCTCCCCTCCTGAATTTTGCACCCCCTCCCCACCGATGGTGGGCCAGCCCAGAGCTCCCCACTCACACCCTCCCTAGCGGGTGGGTTTTGGGTGGGTTTTTTTCCCCCCTCTCTGCAGTGGGCCCCCTTTCCTTGCTCTCCCAGTTCCTGCTTTTCCAAGCCTGCAAAGGGGGTTTGGGGGGGGGGAGAAAGAAGGGAGGGCCAGCTGCTTCCTGAATGCATGCATGCATATATGCATCTTGCACCAAGCTGCTGCAGTGGCACCAGGCAATGCAGTGGGGGGGGAGGGGGGGAAGACCCAACTTATGGGGCTTTGCAGCCTTTGCAAAAAGGGGGAGGGGAGGGTGGAGGAGGGGGGTGTTTTGCATCTCTCCTCCTGCCCCCTCCCTCCCAGGGTTGCATCTTGCTGCAATGCCCCCCCCTTGCAACCCCCTCCCCTCTTTGCTTCCCCCCCTCCCATTTTCTGGAGGCCTATTGCAGCCCCAGAGCGCCCCCAGAGGGAGATGCAGCCCCCAAGGAAGGACCCCTCCCATGCACGGGCCCCCCCAGCCCTTACCTGCGGCGGCGGCGGCGGCAGGAGCGAAGCGGCTGTCCGGGCTCACACCATCTTCGCCCTCGTGCCAGGAGAGCCCGCCCGCCGGCGCCTCGCATTGGCCCGGCGGCGCCGTCAATCGCCCGCATGCAAATAGCCCTCGGCCGCCATTGGCCGGTCTTGGGAACGCCTCCAAGTGAGCGGCGGGTGGCGCGGCCAATCGGTGCCGTCGCCTGCATCCCTGGCCCGGGGCTGGTACCCAGGTGCGTAGCATCCTTGCGAGCGCGCATCCTTCCTGGCTTCTCGCCCTTGGCCCAAGAATTCAACCCAACGCAAGCCATGGTTTAGGCCGTAGGGGGCGGCCACAAGCCAGGATGGGGGTTCTGTAAACCGTCTGGGGGGTTGTGCAAGCCACAATCTTTCGTGCGTTCGGTTTGCAAGCCGGGTTTGATCCTAGTTTGAGAGCTGGCCAATGACTCGATCTGCGACAAACTATGGTTTTAGGCGGCAAATTCATGCCAGGATGGCATCTTGGGCATTTGGGGTGGCTGTAAACCATGATCTTTTAGGGCTTCTGTTTGCAAGCTGGCTTTGGCCCTAGTTTGTAGAACCAGCCAAGGACTCGATCCTCTACAAACTATGGCTTAGACTCTAGTTGTCAGGGATAAGCCATGCTGCAGTCCTGTAGCCCTGTACAAGCCAGCCTTTTGTGGCTTGTTGGCGAACCCCAACTTTGTCCCCAATTTGCTGACTCAATCTTCCACAAACCAGGGTCTAAATGCCAAATGTGGGGTACACGTTATGATGGCATCCTGGACATCTGCAAGCCATGATTCTTGACGGCTTTTGTTTGCAAGCCTGGATTTACCCAAGTTTGTAAAACTGGCTAATAACTCAAGCAACCAGAAACTGGTGGTGCCTAAACTCTAGGTGTCGGGCACAAGCCATGATGTCATTCTATGGAATTCTAGGGTGTTGCTAAAAATAATGCAGAGTTTGACCCCATTCATGGGTTGTGTGAATGGGGGCAAAAGTATGATCCCAGCCCCTGGGGTTTTTTTGTCAACCCTGGTTGAGATGTAGGCCTACTTCAGGCTTAACCTGTAACCCCTGTTGCAACAAATCATGGCTTTGATGCCTGGTTGATTTGCACCTCACCGATTAATAAGCGAATAGAATAATTTGTCTCAAATTATTCAGTGTGAACCATCATCCTTCATGTTGTGTAAAATATACCAGCATTACACAGCCATAATTTTGCTAAAATTCAAATGGAAGCTTCCGGACTTGGCTGAAAATAACCCTAGTTGAACATTATTAATAACTAAACTCTGGTAAACATGGTTTGTTTGGATTAATAGATGCTGTTATGAGTGCAGTTCATCATAGTTTGTTCAGTAAGCCACAGTTAAATCCTAGGAAGAGCCTTAGAGATGGGCTGTTCGGGTTCTGAATTGGGAAGGAAGGGGCTACTACTAACAGATACAGCGGGGATCTTGGCTTTCTTTACCAGCTATGAAAACAAGCCACATTTGATCCATGATGATAAACAGACATCGAGGTTAGTAGCCCTTCTTAGTGAATCCGATAACGATTAAATTAGGGGCCACCATTCCTGATAGTGCGATTTCCATACAGGTAATTCTTGACTTACAACAGTTTGTTTAGTGACTGTTTGAAGTTACAACGGCACTGAAGAGAGTGACTTATGACCATTGTTCACACTTATGACCATTGTAGCATCTCCATGGTCACGTGATCAAAATTCAGACGTTTGGCAAGTGTTTCGTATTTATGGCGGTTGCAGTGTTCGTGGGTCAGGTGATCGCCTTTTGTGACCTTCTGATGAGCCAAGTTTAGGGGGAAGTCAGATTCACTTAACAACCATGTTGCTAATTTAACAACTGCAGTGATTCACTGAACAAACGAGTCAAGTCGTAAAACGGGGCAAAACTCACTTAACAAATTTCTCACTTGGCAACATCAATTTTCGGCTCACTTGTGGTCGTAAATGGAGAATTACCTGATTTTTTCAATGTCTGACACTTTTTAATATGGGTGGATTTCTGGGAGTTGACTTTCACCCACCCACCTTAAAATTGCTAAGTTGCAAAAAAACAGGTCTAGAATTCTGCTAAACTAAGATCGACAGCATAAAAAGGGCCATTGGCTGGGCTAACCCAACATTTTCAAGCCACAATTTAAGGTTTGCAAGCTCGCTATTGCCCTACCTTGCAGGGTTGTTGTGCTGTAGTATAAGTGAGCCTTGGCTATCATCTCGGGTTTCCCGAAAGAGGAGGCAGCATAAATCTATCCGGACACGCTGGAAAGCCAATATCCGCATTCAGACGATCAGAAAGCCCGCGCAACGCAACCACGTGTCTTCCCCTCCTTTCCCGCGCGCGGGGCTTTGGTTCCGCACAGGGACACGCCCCTTTCTTCGTCGCCCTGGCAACCGCTTTGCTACAACAACGAGAGGGCGGCCCGCCTGCTGGGTCGAACCATTTACCAGAATTCGGGGGAGGAGAGGAAGATAAAAGCTGTATCGTGAGGGAGCGAAGGAATAAAAACGGCAAAGGGAGGAGAGGGAAGACGGTAAAATATAAAAGAGTGTATAGAGAGCCTCAAAGAGCCCGTTTTGCCAGGGAGGCTTTAATTGAGGAGTGGGTTTTGGTGTCACCTCCCCCGCGATGCAGTTGGTACGTCCCGAGCAAGATGGCGGCCGCCGGCCGAATAGGGGAGCGCGGCAGCGGCAGGTTGAGGTGAGGGGCGGGAGGAGAATCGGGGAGCCCTTTTTCGGCTCTCCCCATTGGGGGGGACGTAAAGGAGTGACGGCCGCTGATTGGCTCCGGACTGCTCCGCCCTCGGGAGGCTCGAGGCTGCCACACTTGGCTCCCTCCCCTTTGGGAGAGCGCGCTGATTGGCTGGTGGGAGTTGGGGGGCCCCTTTGTCCCGCCCCCCATTGTTCCAGGTGGCTCTAGAACCCCCTTTCCTGCCTCCCCTCCCCCTACTTCCTCCCAGGAAGCCCCCCCACAGAGCTGAGAGAGGGTGACAAGGGCGCCTCTGAGCATGTGCAGAGTGCTTTTTCTCTTCCCCCCTTCCCAGGACCCCAAAATTAGGGTTGCTGAGTTGGGAGGGGGAGGGGTGGAATTAGGTTGCTCATAAAAGCCCCCCCCAAAAAAAATGGCTTAAAGAAAAGGACCCTTAAGCATGTGAGGGGCCACCTAGGGACAAAAGGGTGAAAAAAGGGGGTTTCATGGGGGGGGGGCTCCCTAAGGAAGGTTGCCCAAGGCTAAAGTTTCCTGGGGAAGACCAGGATGCGGGGTAAATTAACCAGGTTACAATGTGGTTTAATGCAAGGGTGAGATGGGAAATGTGTTTCTTGGGGAGGGGGGGTCCGCCCCCAAATGCTTGGTGGAAAAGGGGGGACAGCTTTGTTTTAGGGGAGGTTGCATTCATTTCTCTCCTTAGGTGCTTATATATTGGACATTTATATTTACACATTGCATGTGTATGAGTGTTTATATGTTGCATGTATATATACTTTGCCTATATATTTTTATATACACACGCTATATGTATATATAGAGTATATAGTTTGTTTTATATTGTCTTTGTTTATTGCACGTGTATGTTTATGTGCGCGTACACACACACACTCTATATGTGTGTGTGTGTGTGTGTGTGTGTGTGTGTATGTATGTATGTATTTGTTTTCTTTTTGTTTCTCTCTTTAGCCAGGTTCTTCCTATGTAAACCAAGATTTTTATGCAGCCCTAGTTCAGTGAAATCACAATCCATATATGTCTTCTCAAGTTTTCACGGGGGTGTGTATGTAAAAAGTTAAAATCTCATGTGTTTTCCCGCGTCATTAAAAGTCTGTTAGTTGAAATGCTTAAAATCCTGGCTAAAATCCCAGCTTAAGATCCTCCAAAATCCCAACAAAACACTTTGTAAGGTCTTTTGAAACTCTGGCTAAAATCCTAACCAATACTTTAAAAGTTTTCTTTTTGGTTATTTTAACCAACTTATTTATAATGACGTGGGAAAACACCCGAGATTTTAATTTTTTGCATATGCACACCCGCGAAAACTTAAGAAGACAAATATATATATATATAATGTGTGTGTGTATATATGTATATATATATATATATATAATGTGTGTGTGTATATATGTATATATGTATATATATATGTGTGTATAAACATACACTTGTGCAATAAGCAAAGACAATAGAAAACATACTATCTATAGCATGTATGTTTTCTGTTATCTTTGTGCTTATTGCACATATGTACATGTTTATATTTTGCCTATATGTTTTTATATTGCATGTATATGTATATTGCATTATGCGTGTGTGCTTAATGCATATAGTTATGCATATATGCATTGTAATGATGCATATATACATTCAGTGTATAATTATATTGCATATAAATTATACATTACACACATATATATATTATGCTGCATATATATGTATTGTAGGCACATGTTCTATACTGCATTTATATAATGTGTTGTATATATTTTTATTTCTTTTATATGGTGTTTTTATATATCATTTTTCTCTCCCTGATACACAATCTCTCAGTATCTCTGTGTGTTTATATATACAAAATTTACATGTTTATTTACCATATCTGGAGCATCATTTTCTGACTCCTGAATAAACAAACAAGGTTTTGGGGTCATGTGAACAGACCAACATATAAATCCCCAGGATCATTTGCCAGTTTAAAATCGGCTGCCTGCCTTCCTGGGATTACTGGTTTCCTAACCTGGCTAAATTCCACTTCACATTTGGGCCTAAAATCCAGTTAAATTACATTTTATAGCCACTCTTTTATTCTGGATTTGTGCTTATGTGCCTTTCGCAGCCGTATATGAGTGGAGAAAAACCTACAGAGAACTAGCTCGCTTCTAAGAACATTTTGTACTGAGTGTTTTTACTCCGCGGAGCATTTTACTAGCCTAAAAGCATGTAAAAAAAAAAATAACAAATTTTCAGACTAGCCTCGTGCTGCTGTCGCCTGCGTGTTAAAATGCTTGATTAATTCCGTTGTTCTTTTTTGTACTGGGGCGATGTGCAGCTGTTGTTTAAAAAATCAGCGAACGCGGCAATATATCTATCCGTGGCTCTTAGTGGGAGGACGAATCACACAATATGTTCTCTCTCTTTCTCTTTTTCCAGCTTGGGACATGAAACGTGTGGATTTAATGCTTCCAAGGGGGAGGGAAAAAACTCACAGGGTCTTGGTAGCCTTAAGCCGCTTAGCGTCCAAGTTAGCAGGAAAAATTAGATGTTTTGCCGCTTCCTGAGCTCCCAATTGTAAAGGCTTTTTTAAAAAAAATAATAATCATTGTCGTTGTGTTTCCTAGGGGCAGAAGTGATTAGACTGTGAAAGGAGCAATCTCGGTTTTTGGATGGCAAGCTGGGTCAGGAGGTGAGAACTATTTGATTTTTCTGGCGAGGAACTTTTCTCTGAAAATCTCCTTATTTTGCAGCTTTTAAGCCTCACATCCACAGATTTCGGCAAAGAGAAGGTTTGCACAGACCATCCTTGACTTACGGCTATTCGTGTAGCGACCACGTAGCGACACTGACACTTAAAAGAGACTTGTATGGCTGATCCTCAGACTTAGGACCGCCACAGAATCCCCAGCATCACGTGATCAGAATTCGAGTCCTTGCCGACTGGCATATTCCAGCATCCCAGATTGCCAAAAAACCCGTAATTTTCTCAAACACCGCAAGTACATCTGTCATAAAGTACGTGCAGCCAAGTGCCCGAAATATTGGTTATCAGTGACCAGGGAAATCATACGGTTGTTAAGTGAACTGGCTTCGCCATTGAGTTGTTCAGAAGGTCTCAAAAAGGAGATCATGGGAGCCCAGGACACTGCAACCGTCATAAGTGTGAGTCAGTCATCCGTGACTCTGGGGATACTGCAACAGTTGTGAAAACCAATCAAAGTCATTTTTTACAGTGTCGCTAAACGAATGGTTGTAAGTCAAGGACATATATAATACGTAGTAGGATCTGAAGGCACAACTGGTAGAGTTTGTGTTTTGAGGCAGAAAGACGGTTTTGACTGACCGGGGGGTTAGCTGCCTGTTTTTTTATGGTCTCCTCGGCCTCCCCAGTTTGGAAGAGAGTCACACATTTTGTTCTGACCTTCCCCAAAAAGCACGAAGCAGAATCCTGGTCCCGACAAAACCCCTTTTATTAAACTAACAGCGAATTCCTCTCGTTCACATCCAGCGAAGTCTTTCAAGGGAGAATTTACAGTCACAGACCTTATCTGGCTTGGAGAGCTGCCAGGCCGATACCTTCGAAACTTGGCAAAGTGTCTCGGAGAGTCACAAACCAATTAGGCGAACTAATTGTCTCCCCTCCCCTTTCGCTTCTCTTTTATTCCCTCTGGGAGGGGCCATTGATCGTCCACCTGTGTGGCCTTACTCCCCAATCAACCCTTGTTCTTTTTGTCTGTTCCCTTCGTCTGGCAACTCTGCGCGTGCGCACAGTGGAAACAGGCTCCAGCTTTTCTTCCACCCCACTGATGTCTGACTCAGCTGATAACTGTCAGACGGCTCTGGCCCCCTCTCTGCCTCCGACGCAGAGCCCTCATCAGAGCCTTCCCCAGACTCCAGGACTGGCCCATGTTCCTCCCCAACCTCCTCACTGTCCGAATCTGCTGCGGGCCACAACACATTTGTGTGTACACATTCTTGCAATTGGGAGGTCTCGCAACTGCATCCTGAGCGCCCAGCAAGCTGTGCACTTCTCCTTCGATCACACCCGTGTGCAAGGGACTAGTTCACTTATTCATCGTTTCTCTAGAAAAGAGGAGAAGGGAAGAAAATAACACGAGTTGGAAGGGGCCTTGGAGGTCTTTTAGTCCAGGGGGTCTCCAACCTTGGCAACTTTAAGCTTTGCTGGCTGAGGAATTCTGGGAGTTGAAGTCCACAAGTCTTAAAAGTTGCCAAGGTTGGAGACCCTCTGCTCAAGTGGGAAACCCTGTACTGTTTCAGACACACGCTTGTCCAATCCTCTTCTTAAAAACCTGCAGTGATGGAGCACCCACAAATTCTGGAGGCAGGCAGTTCCACTGGTAAATTTAATATATTTATTCAATGGTATAATTTACTACACGGAGGGACCTGCGTGCTAGTTACGGTGACTCATTCCATGCAGAAATTAAAAGTCTGAATGCAAAAAAAATTGCCTACGGATTAGGGTTAATTCTTTTGGGTATTATTATTATTATTATTATTATTATTATTATTATTATTATTATTATTGCTTTGCTTTGATTCCTTTTTCTTCCTGGAATCTGTTTTCTGATGAAGTCAGCTTCTCTCCAGCTCCCCCTGTG